GTACAGTTACAGGAGGGACGTCTGCGTCCGCGTCCATGTCCATGTCCACGTCTGCTCTGAGAGACAGCCAGGCGGTGAACACTTGTCTTTTTAAAAGCAGATTGTATTTTTAGAGGTCAGATCCAATTCTTGGGACACAGAGCAGGGGTCGGGGCACGGGGGTGAGGAGCGAGCCAGACTGTAGCAGCGTGATGGCGTCTTATTAAGAAATCACGATCACCAGACGGCCTTGTTACGAGGGCGGGGGTCGGAGGAGGCGGAGTGGAGCTGAGCTTGTACATATGAAACTCTGAGCCGTCGGTCAGTGTAACACAGGTCACAGGGTCAAGTCAAAGCCCACCTGGGACAAATCACTGTATGAACAGGACTGACACGGTCGGCTCATCGACCGTCCTGTTCTCCGCCCTCTCTTTAATCTCCATCTTCTTTATGACCAAGTGGATGCACTTAATGTGTTAGGAGCAACAGAAAGAACCAAATAGAAAATTCTCTCACTCTGGGTGTGTTCCCCAGTGTCCCACCATTCCTCACTCCCCTGCCCGCTTCCTCTCCCCCCATGTAGTGCACTTTGTGAAAAGCTATTGGTACATGAAAAGCCTTAAGTATGGAACACACCCCCACTTTACCCAGCAGCTCCTGCAAAAAAAAAAAAACAAAACAAAACAAAAAAAAAACCCGAAAGGCACAAACTTATACTGTGGATTTGTAAAAGATACAAATATCAACTGTACACATTTAAATGTATTATGTACACTAAAGTAAATGACTTCTATGTGATACTATATGATTGAAATTTAATATAGATGTACGCATTTTATTTCTTCTATTGAGTATAACACACAGTGCTATATTTGATAATGTCAAATATGAGAGCAGTCCTTTATTTAGGTTTGAGATTAGCGTCTATTTTTTTCTTCTCTGACGATGAAAGACTGTAGCGTGTTGCTCGCTTCACGTGTAGCCCTGAAGGGGGAGCAGTGAGCAGCACCGTCGCCAACTTTAACCCTTTACTTTGCGCTGCAGTCAGAACAGCTGGTTGTCGTTCAGCCCGGTGTTCTTCACTGCTCTGGGACACAGTATACGGGTTATGGTCACAGGAGCTGAGCGCTAGTGTTTGGACCCCCACTCGTACTATACACTGGACTGGACCGGGTCATGGTTTTAATGGCCACCTGTGTTACAACACTTCCTTTCTCCCAGCTTAAGTTTTCTGCCTCCATACTGTGACTCTTCTGTTTACTTCCTCCTTCACACTCATCACCATCAACATCCACTCTGCTGCGTATGAAGGTAACGCTGCCGACTCACTCTCCTACTGGTCCTCCTCCATCACCACCGCCATTTGTACATTTTTGTATATTTTTTTTCCCCCGCACGCTTCATCCTGGTTCTTAGCACCGATGTCTGCGTCAGTGTCACCGTTCATTTTTTTTGTGTTGCAAAGTGAAGTGGAGATAATTATGATAATGATGAATATAGTGTTGCTGTCACCACAAGTGAACGTATGATTAATGAGGGCAGGAGACAGCTGTACAGCCAACGAGGGTGTAAATAAAAATGGCCACATTATTTTTTACCGGATGTCGACAGAGCTTTTTGTAAATGTGCTGCAAACTCTGCTGTATCGTTATTGATATTGTAAATACAACATAGCCAGTTTTTGTTGCTTGTCTATCTACGGCGGCTAGAACTGTACAGATTTAACATTTGAGTGTTCTTCTTGGTAAAGCCATAGATCGTATATAAGACGCGGACGTAACCGTGTGGATGCGAGCTGATGTTTTAAAGTGAAGCCGTGGAAAAAGATGGAAACGAATGAGTCTGTGTGAACTAACTACCTGTGAACAACATTTTCCTGTTGTATTTAAAGCCTCCAGCTATTGTTCCAACGCCTAACCGACTTCACATTTGCAGCCACGAATGCTACGTCCCTTTCTTATCTACGGTCTACAGTCAAAGTTATAGTTTTTCTATGTAGAGTTTATTATCACTTGCCAAAAAGCTGATTATGTCAGAGTTTGTCCCAAATCATGGAAGACGTCCCACTGTCTCCATGTGGATGGCATTTCAAAGAAAACTATCTCTGTTGTCATCAGTCCAGCTCTATGCACTTTTTATTTTTAGTGACCGGTTTTATTTATCAATTTTTATTTTTGGCACAGCAGCCGTTTCAGGTGTTTAAAGAAAATTAATAAAGTTCCGTACCAGGAAAAAAAAAGGGATTCATCTGGAATACGGCTCAGTCACGAACTATTGTATCTGATGAAAGAGGATTATTTAAGCTTTTATTTTCTAATTTGAAATAAAAAAAACATCTCACAGGAATAAACT